GTATTTGTCCTTCTAACGCTAACTAAACAGGGCTATGAATTATAACTAAAAAGATGCTACTGAGATAAAAAACTTATAAAATAGTAATGGAAAATGGAATTTTATATAATGCCAACAACTTTAGCATGATTCTTGGCATAAGCAATTTAGTGCAATTTCATTTGTCTGAACCAGAGTGATATTTCAAAGTGAATTAATAGAACATTAGTACTGAAAAAAAACCCACTTCTTCCTTTGAAATATGAAGTGCCACTAACTTGAGATGAAACCTGAAAGTCAGTGAATAATATATGGGAAATATTAATATTTTAAATGTATCATATTTAAAATTGCTGTGAACTTAAACAAGGTTTCATATCAAGAAAAAACAAGTAATTCATTTTAGGATCCAATTTTATATGCAACATTTTACAAATGAAGCAATTCACTAAAGAAGGGAAGTCAGGTATGTAAGCGTATTTTGTTATTTTGCCCATGAAATGCGGTCATTATGGAAGATGAATTTAATTTGGGAAATGATAAAAAAGAACATTTGTTTTATTTTTCTACTGCGCTGCGAGGAAAACATTTTTAAGTAGCTGATTAATGAGATGAAATGAACTGATACGTCCCATAATACCTGCATAGGCTTTAGTACCTCGTGAAACTGCACCACAACGGGACCTTTATAAAAAGTATGAAGCCAAGTAATGCAATCAGATTTTAAATTTAGAATAGGAGTTGATGCGATTCAGCTTGGTGTTGGAAAAAGTGAGCCCTCTGGCACTTGGTGTTACATTATTTAAGAATTACTCCTGCAAGGAAAGTTAATAGAAAGAGTGCAGAAGGTTGAATCCCGGCGCTGAAGCTCGGGGCAAATTGTGGTGCCACCGCCTGCTTCCCTGTTGGTTTTAGAGGGGACCATGCATAGCCCTCGGTCCTCTCCTTGGTACAAAGTCTATTGACTCTGGTGTTTCACTGCCCTGCTCCAACGAGCAGGTACAGCTCAGCCTCTGGAAGCCAACCCTTGTGCTCTTCAAGATGGGCCAAATCCTGCTTGTCCTGTTCATTGAAGCCACCTGGAGTCTTGTCTCATTGGAACGAGCAGGATCTGGCCCTCAGTCCACTCCCTGGTGTATCTCCATTGGACCTTAATATCAACAGAGGGAGTATTTTTGCGTTTATTTGATGTGGATGGAGTTAAGTCTGGGGGCCAAACTGACCTTACCCTTATCCCTGAGCCACCTGAGGGTTGGATCCTCCCCACTTTGGCTCTGATGAACCAGGCCAGCAGTAATTGCAGTTGCTACATACGATATGTAGGACACACATGACTGGGCATTTTGAACAGTTGGGCAAAAAACCTTGTCTTTGCACCAATGGAAAGCACTGGATGTGTATAATCTTAGTGAAAAGGGCTGTTGCATGTTCTGTGAGAGACACTGTTAGGAGCACTGTAAGCACTTAGAACGTCTTGTTGAAGGACAGCAAAAGTCTGGTTAGTCCATAACCTGGTTCCCACCAGGAGCTAGTTACAGGTGCCAGAGAAGGCAGCAGAAGTTGTTGTTGTTGTTGTGGGACAGGACACGCTTGTCACCTGCCACACAGCAGATCTCTTTCTGGTCACTTTTGCCCAAAGCCCTGAGACATTTGCTATACTTCCCCCAATTACCTGCCATTAATTTCAGTAGCTTGTGTTTTCGTCACAGATGCCCAGTTCCCTTCTGGAACTCACTGGAGATATTTTAAATTCAAAATAACTGTGATGAGAAAAAAAACCCCCACCTTTCCCTTTTTAAACAATTTTACCGTTTTATCACCGTTTGTTTAAATATACATTTCTCTGCTGTGAAATAACCTTTCATTCCACATTTATACCCATATCCACAATGCTAACTCGTAGCAGAAACAACATTTTAAAACAGTGTCATGCTTATAGGATAATTATTAATCTTGTCAGAATAAAAAGCGTACTAAAAGTACTCCATACAAAGGTTTGTGCCTTAACGTTTTTGAAAGTTTTTTTTTAAAGTAATCAGAGATGTCATAACAAAGGGAGAAACTATACGATATACAGCACATAGTAAAAGTATATGACTCCTACAGGACTATTTAGAAATACACAAAGATTATTTTTTCTTCCTTTTGGTTAGCAGACTACTTGATGAAAAGGTATGTTTTTATTTTTATTCCTGCTTGTGTCTTACAGTTCTACGAAGACGATGTGAAACTACTGATTCCAAATTTTAGTAGCTATAAATGATATAAAAATAAGGAGGAGAAATGTTCATGATATGTATCTGGAGGGATAAATACACAATAATCATGCAATCTGAGAGCAGAAAGAATAACTATTTGACAATAAAACCAATGCTAAATACAAACAGAATAATATTGTCCTAGTGAGAAATACAGCAAATAAAATGATGGAAGAAAAAGACACTTTTGAAACTGCCTCTGTTTAGATCTTTTCCAGTTGACTGTTTGTTTTTAATGTTTTCTGACCACTGAGATACGGTTAGTGGACAGCTTAGTCAAAACTTTTCTGTCTTGGTTTTCATATCTCATGTGTACAAATCGAAAAATGTAACCTGTAGCAACCGCACATCAAGTTAGGAAGGTGCTTTTGCTGTTCATTGCTTAGGATTTGTTGAAATCTGATTTTGTATGCTCTTGACTGGTGTGCTAAAATTGCGGGGGCATTTGAGCAGTGTTTGTAGGGTCATCTGGCGATTTTGGGCAGGAGGGCCAGCTTTTTCAAGCTGGGGGTTAATACAGGCAGAGGACAGGGATACTGCAGGAAAAGGATTGTTTTTCAAGGGTGTTGGGCACTTACCCCTTCATTTGACTTCTGCGAGAATTGTGAAAACTCAGTATTTTTTAAAAAAAGTGTCCACTTTTCTTTAGAAAGTCAAGTGTGGACATAGAAATCTGACTGCTGGTATCTCTGGCTGAAAAAAAAAAAAAGGAGTAAAATGCTATTGCTGGAAATTTCTATTTTTATCTTTGCATAGGTGTAGCATCAGCCCTATGGATATAAAACACAAACCTACCTTTCCCCATGCGAGAACTGTTTGCTTTGCCTTTTCCTTCAGAGAGGTAGGAGAAATGATTAAACCACTACAGCCCTGAAAAAAACAAAACATCAATAATAGAAATTATTGCTCATTACTCAATTAGGAAAATAAGAAGTCCTGGAATCTGCATAGGGTGAATTATGATTTTGAATGCTGATAATTTTGACTTTCTGAAATTCGGACCTTAGTACTAAACTCTTGCAGCTTTTTCTCACTACGGTTAGGAAAGAATAAGATGCAAATTTGAAAGGCTTTTTAGAGGGACAGCTTTCTGCACCGTGACACGCCGAAACTGAAGGAAAATGTAGCAAATGTTTTTCAGAGCAGCCAATGGCTGGGGAGAGGAGAATGTGCTGTAGACGCCTCCGCACCCGTCAACCCTGTAGTAGGTCGCATGCACCTGGGGTTATGGGCTCCTCTTTGGAAGAAGATAAGCAGGAGAACCGAACCCCACGACCAGCTATCGGTCAAAGCCACCTCAGTGCAGCGCCATCCATTTTTGGGATCAATTTTGGCCAGAGGGCGTCGAGCTGAAAGTGGGAAAGGGGCGCAATCCAAAGCTCTGCACACCCCTGGTGCCCACACTCTGGGGATAATGTCTTTGTCTGCAAGGGATGGGTGAAGCCTTCTCCCAGCAAAACCAGGGACAAGCCGGCCCCACAGCCCCTTGGTGGGAGCTGGGGTCCACGGGTGTGCTCGGTGCCCCTCTTTGTCGTGCCAAACCCGTAAGGACGGGGCTCCCCTCCACAGCTCGGCCCCAACTTCACTCTTTGATTTCATCTCTAACTGCGCTGCCAGGCTTTTATTTTATTTGAAACCCTGGCTTCGTCTAGAAATGATTGGGCTGCGCTGAGCACCGGCTGTCTTGATAGGTTCGAAATTCCTGGGAAACCTCAATACTGGCATTTTATAAACACAGTAAGCAAAGCACGCTGGAATACTAATGGGTAAAACACATTTTAAAGGGGCACCATCACTTTGCAATTTCGTCCGTTAAAATACATGGACTAGGGGCAGTTTGGGGGAGTTGCAGCAAAGCCACAAGTGTTCTTCTTCGCAATTTAAAGCTTCTGCGTTTTAATTATTTCTTTTTTCTGCCACTGTGAAAGATCCCTGGAGACAATGGGGACTGTGACGCTGAGGAACAGGTTATCCCGACTGCGCGGGGAGCGCCATAAAAACCACAAAATGGACACACAGAATAAAATACGACACCCCCTTCCTTCCCAGTTGCTCTGTTTTCTGGCATTTATAGTAGTTATGTTGCATCAGTTGTGGGTAAAAAGGGGAAAAAAAAAAAAGGAGACGGAAATGTGGTCCCTAAACTGACAGAGCCTCTTTAAATTTGCTCGAAGAACCATCTCAGGAAAAAAAAAAGAAAAGAAGAAAAAAATAGACATACTACACTGTTCTGGATTTTATTTGTTTAAATGCAAATTTATGGAGCTGGCCACACACCAAAAATTGGAGAGTTTGGTACTGCAGTTGCTTTGGTGTTTTTTTCAGCATTGTAATGGGCTACAGGGAGACAAAGGAGAATATGAATATATGGCAGTTGATATTTAGATTTGGGTGACATTTTTGCTTGTTGTAACTGTCATTTTTAAAAATCCATTTTCCTTCTATCGTGCTATTGAATTGCAGCAGACGTTGGTACAGAAAAGCTAGAATTATTTAATAACCAAAATTAGGAGTGATTTTTGTACTATATTTCTCGTTACCGACCTCTCAACTGCTGAGGAACCCTCAGGTCCAGGCTAAACTCTCCCACAGGGTAGAGTGGGCGATTAAAGAGTGAGGCGATAGACCTCTTCCTCACCCCCCCCGCCCCCCAAAAACCGACTTCTTTATAAAGCAGTTAGAAAGCAAAGCCTTTCATGGAACGTTGAAAAGCAAGCTCAAGCATGACACTACTATCACACCTCTCACGGTATTTTTTTTCAGGAGTCTGTCCCCGATTGTAGTCCAAAGGAGCTGCTTTTGGGAATTGCGTGTCCGGCTCCGGCGTTTGCCTGCTGAGGAAGAGGTATGTCCTTTGTCCCTCACCTGCAGATGGCTTGGATGCTTTCACTTTTCCCGAGGAGAGCACTTCCCAGTGGGCTGCATTCGGAAAGCGCTTTTCATAGCATTAGTCCAGAACCAAGTTACAAAAGAATATTAATCTAATACATTCCAAAATTCAAATATGTGTGATTAATAAGCATTATTATCTATAAATAAGGCTCTAATGATACTTTGGCAGTGTTGTAAACACAAGAATCAGAAGCAATTATTGTCATTATTGTTCTGCAAGTACTTTCCATGAATACCAAATGGATATTACTGTCCAGCTCCTTGGCACATAGAAATCCTGTAAAGAAACAGTTGTCAGTCAGGCAGGTCTGGCTGGCTGCTGTTAACTACGTTTGTCTAAAATGCAGCGTACCTAAAGACAAAGCCCGCAAGTTATTGAAAGCAGGATGATTGTTGATTTAAAAATTCTTCTTTGTCTTTTGCAACCCCACCCCCCCAACTCCCAAATGATGTTAAATAAAGCCTATGAGAAAGTTTTCACATTCTGTGAGATGAACTGTTTGTGTGATGGCTGTGATTAAAAATGGAAACGGATCCCCTGCCAGAAAAGCTGCCCTTCTTTGTGTGAAACCCACAAAGGTGAGAACGTCCCAGCTGAAAGGTGGTGTGAAAATCCTGACAAAGACCCCCTCCGTTGTTAGAGGTAACCCACGGCTAGTTTTCAAGGGTGCGGAATGAAAGGGGCATTCATTCCTGGCACATTTTCCTCTCCCCGGGTTGTACAGGTCCCGTAGACTCGAGTCACGCCGGTGGCCGGGTCCCACTCGCTGTGACACCCCCGGTTGCCCTCCTTTGGCGGTCTCACCTCCCTCACCAAACCTCACCGCTTCACGCGGCGCCAGCCAACAGCAGCATTTTGTGGTGGGTGTCATGTTGTTCTTCAGATGCCAGGGTGTCATCGCGAGCGGGAACAGTGTGGGTCTGACTCTGAATCTGCAGGAAGAAAAAAGAAAAAAAAAACACACCAAAACCCCAAACCCCAAACAGTAAGCTTTACTTTCCAAATGTGTTCAATTCTTCTTTCCTCTCCTTGATATTTGGGGCGTGCAGCACCCTATACCATGTGGTTTAACATTTTGTTCTCTATTTGTAGGTCAACATTTCCATGATTAAACTTCATCCTTTATTCAGCCTGTTCTGGCTAGGCTTTGCAGCACATGTGATATAAGCTGTTTTCACAGCTAGTAGGCCAAATCTTACTCTGGATGAGGGAGCCAAACATATGTGACTGAGTCAGACACTTAAATCAGCTCCCTGGTAAATGGGAGATAACTCCAGGTGCAGTGTTGAACACTGAGAACCAAAAAAGTGGGAAGGGTGGCCAACGTTCCTCCGTGTGGGAAAGGAGACATCCTATGCACACAGACAGTGAAATCATAGCCCTGCCCAAATCTCTCTCTCCCACGTTTGCCTGAGGATACGGACCCCTCTTCGCTGAAGTCACTGGAAATCTTTCCATTGACTTTGGTGGGCTCAGGATCAGGCCAGCCTAGGGCAAGCTCAGCTGCAACTGGGCATGGGACAGGCTTGTGCAGGAGAGGGACGAGGTGGGAGAAAGCGAGGCCCTTCTTGGAGATCTTGCACTTGCAGCATGCACAAGGTGGTTGCTGGGGGGGACATGGAGCACCCCACCTATGGTACCCCCTTTCTTTCACTTGCCCTCTCTTCATCACCCTTAAGTATCTGGCTCGTTTCCTGACCAGGGCTGGTGACTTTTCTTTCGCCTGGTGGCAGGTATCAGTTATTTTAACATAGTGTTGGATTGGAAGACCTCTCCTCATAAATCAGTGGAACAATTCCTGGAAGTGCTCGCTGCCCGGAGTGAGCATTACCCAACCCAGTAATCCTCGGTGCAGAGGACTGGCATTAGAGGACTCTCTGGCTGCATGGCCAGCAGCCCTCCTCCTCCTGTGCTTCTTTGCCATTGCCTGGTAACTCTGGTAAGTACAGGGAAGCCTACAGGGCTCGTTAAGTGCAAACAGAGGAGCCCGATGAGCAGGCAGGTGTCATTCCATGCCCCATTCCTGGAGGTGTTCAAGGCCAGGCTGGATGGGGCTTTGAGCAACCTGGTCTAGTGGAAGGTGTTTCTGGCCACATCAGGGGGGTTGGAACTCAATGATCTTTAAGGTCCCTTCCAACCTAAGCCATTCTACGGTTCTGTGAAATATGGTCCAGAGCTGGTATGTCATTGCTGTGTGACATTCTTACTTTCAGCAGGGCTGGACTAGTCCTGGCTGTTAGGCTGCTACACAGCAAGTACCAGGGTTGACTAGAGAGAACAGCAAAGGAGAGCTCCTGAAGCAGGCTCAGGGAGGACATGTTTTCCTCAAATGGGCCAGGCTGTACCCATGATGTTACAGAGTGAGGACTGCGCTTCATCTATTACTTGGTGATGAACTGTGTCATCATGCACGGGAGCTGGCAATGAACTATTTCCCTTGGGAATAAGCCCTCCCAGAGGTCCACTTGGGCTGACTCCCTCAGCTAAAGGAAATACTGGGAATGCAGATGGCAGGACTTTCAGTGACTTTTGCTTTTATCTTTTTTTTTTTATGGCACCCATCTTTTAGCTTCTGTTAGTTTGCTTTGATTTTTTTTCAATAGCTTTTTTCATTTAGGAAAAGCATTTCCTGCCAAAAATTAAACCTACTTGCTAGGTCATCAGTAGATAAAATCAAATAATGAATATTGTGGCTGTGTGAGCCTTGCATTATCCACTGTTTATAAATCCTGTCCTGATAACACACATGGTAGTGTGTGGGATCAAGTGGATGGACTGTCTGAGGCTTTGAGGACCTACCCCATGGTTGGGCAAATCCCTGGGTGTGCATGAGGGTATCTGACCGACTTCCTCACCATCGTGTTGGGAAGGAAAGTCTCCTGGCTACAGCAAGAATGTTGCTGAGGACTTAATAGAGGGCAGGTGCCTCCAGTGCTTGTCATGCGATGAGGGGACACTGAAATGAGGCACAGAAGTAGATGATGTGGTCTGGTGTGCCTGGGGACATGAAATGGTGCAAGGCAGAGGGAGGATGAATCACACACTCCTGGAAAGCAATGGGAAGAGTACCATGATTCTGCCCTCCCTGGCATGAAAGTTAATCAAGAATGTGCTGGAATAAATCCATGTGTGCTTCAAAGACACATGGTGTCAAATTAGTGGAAAGGAGAAGGGAATTCAGGCCAGGAAGATCTGCTGATAGGGTCAAGTGGCCTCCCTGTCCCTGGGCCTGCCTTTTGGAGACACAAACCGCACTTTGGTTTCGCTTTTAAAAGTGCTAACCAGATCGTGGGACTTACAGAGAGCAAGAGGAGCAGAAGAAGGTGGGAAAGTCCTGTGATCAGGGTGTGAGAGCATCACACTACGGTACGGTGAAATGAAGTTGAGGAAAAGCAAATTAAGCTTTTTCTGTGTGGTTATTTAGACAAAAAAAAGTTAAGTCACTGTTTTCTTACGCTTAAATAACAGTCTCCCTCTTCCACGGTATAAAAGATCTCAGGATCACACAGGAATGAATTAAGACTGTGGTAACAGATGTAATTTGAAGTTAATGAAGAGATAGTGGGTTTTGTATTATCTTTTCTCTTGTTTCTGGTTGTCTTTTTTGGGGGTTGATATTACTGTAAGTAAATACATTTGTCTTTTGTTTCATTTTCCCCTTGTGACCTATCTCATTTAATTAGAAGGAAATGTGTGATAGGAAATGAGTAGCATCACAGTGGGCTCTATCCAACGCCCGTGAAATCATCAGGAACCTTTCCTGCACTTTTCATGAGCAACCGGATCCAGCCCAGCAGAAAAGAGGTGATATTTCCACCTTATCTGGAAGAATGTGTGCTGCCAGCGTAAAAATATTACAGTCCTGGTTTTAAGATCTGGCCCAGATACTAGGGAAGGATTTTGCTACTGCATATGCCTCTCCGTGCCACATGTTTCACATCTGCGGCAGCACGCTAAAGGATAAAGGTTCCTAAAACCTTAACTCTGAATATACGTATAAAAAGAAGATAGAAATTAGGGAAAAGATGAAAGATATTGATGGAAGTACAGGAGATGCTCTTTAACATGCATATTATTGACTCAATAGATTGTTACGGCTTCAGAGCTATTAGGGTCTGCTGTGTCAATGTGTACTTAGGGACTGTTTAATATGCAGATGGTTGACATGACAGACCGAAGCCATTACAGTCTATCATGTCAGGGGGGATACATGAATACGCACTTTGCCAACACTGTAAAAAGTCCCTTTAAAATACAGTTGCTGTGCATACTTAGCTGCTTTTTAAAATAATTTAATAGGTTCCGTTATTCGGATGCCCGGAGACTCCAGAGCCTGGATTTATCAGCAAGAAAATTTACTTCCAAATTAAGCCATTTTCCATGTGGAATGTGCAGTCAGGAGGACAGGGTGTAATCTCAGATACGCAGCTCCTATCAAATCTTGTAAAATTAGCTACTGCACTTGTGCGTGTGTAGAAGAGATCAGAATCTATCTGTCGGCATGTGTCTTTTTGAAGAATATAGTTTTGTCTTTTTGAGGGGTAAGGGAGAACGTTGTCTCTTTTTTCATTCAAATAATCTTCAGTAGCAATTAAATAGCTTATGCTACCTAAGAGATCAGTTATTACAAGATAAGCAGCATGACAGTTTGGAAAAACTGAATAAGTCTTTGATTATTTACTAAGTTTTGATATCTGCTATTTGCCTCAAAATGCTAAAAAGTGAAGTATAAGATACAAACATGAAAGGCTCATTTGATCATCATAAGGAAAGGAATCAGTAGTTTTGCTTTTCTTTTCCTCAACAACTTATTTTTTATTAAAATAGCAAAGCCAAGTGTTGTGTTTAATAAGATATTTTTTTTTTTCATTTGAATATCAAATGGAAAAATACAATTAAAATATTTCTGCTCTTACATTAGTTGTAGGCTATATTTCAGCGACGCATATATCTAAGAAGCTCAGCATACACATTTGGTATATATTAGATGCTTCTAACAGATGCCCAGACCTCTTCCCCTGATTTTTAATGTTCTTTTTTTATGGCAGCGATCCAGGCACATTTTAATTTGCAAGCCTGTGAACTTGGAAATAATACTTGTAGTAGGGCATTACATCTAGTCCATTCCCCCTAAGTTTATTGTTGTGTGTCACCTACCTCTGATTTTAGCTGATTTGCTGGACTGATGTGCACCGTGCAACTCCAGCACGAAATTCCCAGGGCAAAAGCACTCTGCCTGGCAAATAATAGTGACTGTGCAACGTTATAAAGGCCTTTCCTCTTATCTTTGGGGCAGCTGAGGGGCAAGGAGAAGCGTGTTTTCAGGCGAATGCGATGGCTGATTTTCTGACAGCTCCTTTTACTGCCTGGTGCCAAGAGGGAGACCATCAGGGCAGTCGGGATGTGGTGGTGATGGGTAGGGCAAGTGCCAGGAGGTTGAAAGCATTGAGAGGACATTTTTTGTAGCCCATCACACACATGCTCCTGGGTCTTCTGTGAGATTTCTGCAGCGACACAGGAAAGCCAGGAAAAGCTTGTGGGGGGAAAAAAGTGTTCAGGAAAGCTCAGGAGGAGGCTGCTTCTTACAGCTGTAATGAATTCACCCCGCGCTCCAGGAGAGGTCCCTAATGGGAGATACCTCTCCCTGGGCTGAGTTACTTCTGCACTGAGGATGGACCAAGCAGCAGGAGCCCGAGCAGAAGGAAAATGTCTCGTAGCCTCAAACAGCATCAGTGCCATTGGGAAATGTGCACTTTGCTTCCTCCCTGGCCCTGGGAAGGTGGGCACATCTCTGTGGTTGCCTTTTGGCAATGGGTGGTGACCGTGGCCTCAGGAGCAGCAGTCCCTGCACCCCCTCCCACTCCACCTCTGGCCATCCAGGGTGGCTGGGGGGAGTCACAGCTGGCTCTCCAGCCCTTCTCCTTGCCCGAGGCAGCCCTGGGAGCTCCACATCCCTCTCTGTGTACCCATGTGCAGGGAGACATCAGCTGGAAGAGGCACCTAAGAGGGTGCGACACGGAGCGCTGCGTTACCTGGTGCTAATCAATAAAGCAAACATGTAGCTTTTTGACAGCACTTGTAATTTTGACTATTGCAATGGTGTGCCATTTCTTTGAATGCAGTACGCTTCTGTGCCCCATTAAAGCATGGCTGGCATCGCTTTCAACTATTCACAAATGCTGAGATGTTGAAAAATGTAACATTTACAAAAGATACATCTGGTGTATATTTACAAGGCTCAGGAATCATTTAAATAGTGCCTGTGACATCACCATATTAGGAGAAAAGTTAGTCCCAGCCCCATATGTGAAATCAGTAGTCAAATGTGTGCTGGTTGAAATTCCACTGATATGATATAGTATTTCGGGGTATTAAATGTGAACATACCATCCTGGGTATAATACCCAAATGAGATAAGTATAGACAGGCATGACATTGCGATAATTGCCTATATGCACCTGTTACAAACTATGTGGTCAAAAGAGGATTATGGATTTTGAGGGGCAAATGCTTCATTTTTTTATTAAAGAAGAATCTTTGGCTTCTCATTGTGAGAGGTTAGCATATTTTTTCCTCTTCTTCTATGAGAATTGTTAAGACCTACCTAGGAATGGAAGAAAAAGACATTGAATGGCTTCCTTTATATCACATAACACGCTGAGGACAAAAAAGTGTTTGTGTCCTCCTGCAAGTGCAATACCACTTAAGCTACATTTGAAAACTATTTTTTAATTAATGTGATGGGTCATGTTTTCACCACACTAAGGCAGGAAATTCAAGGTAAACCAGATACTCCCTTTCTCAGTCACACAAACATGAATTAAGCATGTAGCATCAGACTTAATTTCAATTTCTAGGTCTGTAATTGAATCTAGCTCAATGTGAACTTTTTTTTTTCTGCACCATCACATTGATATCTGGATGTTAGTGACATTATTTAAAGCAACAAATCAACCTATAGGACTGTGTTCAGCTATACTTTCTTTATGTCATTTGACAGTAAATGGAATAAAAAAAATGTTACTTTTCTCTAGGGGCAGATTTGTTAAAGGGTTTTCATCTTTTGTCAAGATATTTAATCTTGGAATGTTACAAAAGAAAAAATGCACAGTTTGTACAAGTGCAGATTTCTGCATGCACAGTTTGCCTGATTGCTAATTTGGATGAACGTGCTTAGGCTTAACACAGGCAAATGAGAGAGGAAAGATAATTTTTGCGTGTATGCTCTGAGTCAAGTGCGAGTCCCCGGACTCTAAGGGAACCAGGTATCCACTTTTAGGGGCTGAAAGCTGTCACTCTGGATGGTCCCATACATCAGTCTCAGTTTGTGCATGCCAGGGAGCACAAATGCTAACAATGAGCTGTTGAGTGATGCCAGCAGAAATGAATGTTTCTGAAAGCTTCGGGGTTTTGGAGAAAGCAGCTGACGCCGGCTCTGTGGCACTCGCCACTACTGCCTAACTGAAGGAGGGTCAGATTTTGACGAAAGCCTCCCACGTGATGGACAATTTTGAACACACCTTTGTTTTCCAACGGGCTGAGTAAAGCTGATACGGGACTATAGAATTAAGCCAAAACACCCAACCATGTTATTTCCTCAGAGGGGTTCGCTACAGAATGACCTATCCGAAATTATTAACGCTCCTAGTAATTATTATTATTAATTCCTGTTGGTAAGCCTGTCCCTCCATCATGGTAACGATCACGTGCTGGGATGTCTACTGCTCAGGACATCACATGCCTTTGGAAGCGGATGATTATTTAATTGATAGATTGTAAAGATGGGCTGACCTATTGCCTTTTCGTGTTTTGCTTTGCTTCAGTCGCCTGGACCCTCACAGCTCCTTAGTAGGGTTTCTGATCCATCATGTCAGGCTGGCAGCTGTCCCTCTCTGCTCTGCCTGCCCGCTGCCAGCCAGATTTCGATCTCAGGCGCGTGGTGTGGCGTGGTGTACCCTCCTCCCTCCCTGTCCTCTCAGCAGAGAGCTGCTTCTGCCCGCACCTCCGTTAAACGGCTTGATTTTGACTGCAACAACTGCTTTCTCAGGGTCCTCTCAATCCGAGACACTGGGTGTGCAAGGACAGAGGAGGGCACGTTCCCAGATGTCCCTAGGTGTGTGCTACACCTCCGAGATCAGGCTCCTGCCTGACATCTTCAGGCTGAGCCCCCCAACTCGCCCCAGAGAATGGCCCCGCTCAGTACCGTGGCCATTTTCATTTGGAGACATTTCCCCCACGCTGTGTAACTTCTGCCCTTACTGTGGACTCCCTGCTTCTCTCAAGCTTAATTTCTCTCTGGCCTGCAGGTTTGCAGAGGGCACTGTCTCAAACGAATAAATTCCATTTTACACCCATCCACCTGGAAAAATTGTCCTCGCAAGTTTCCACCCCCTCCCCAACACTAGGAAAAAATGCTTGGAAAGTGGTTGAAATTCTATAAACAATATTTCAAGAAGGAATAGATTTTTTTACTGCCAAGCTGTATAATAGGTGCTTTTGAGAGGTCGTTAACTTCAACAGTATAGTCAAAACCAGTGTTACACCCCACACTGCATCCTTCGTTAAGCAATTAAGTTACTGATAGGCTTTTACATTTATTTACCTTGATGGAAAGATATGTTTACTCAACCTGAGTACAAATCAACATGAGGAGGTGGAAGTTCAGAGTAAATTTGACTAATGATGTTGTGTTTTCATCCTTAAAAGAAAGAAAAAAAAAGCCTCCCCGCTTTTGATGCTATTTTATCTTCATTGGAAAGGATCCGAAATGATCCCAACTGTCATGTGAGCGCTCAGTTAGGCTCAGATCCTCTTTGATTGCAGCTGAACGTCTCTCTCCGTTGGCTCATACCTTCCCTTATATGAATACAGTGTACAGCACTTCAGGTTGTTTATTGAACAGTGCTTTAGCTCTTCCTCTGTGGATGCTCTTAACGATTATATCTTTAAGCACAATATGGGCTGTGGCCACCTTTGCCTGGGGAAATATCAGTGTGGCCACATCGCTGATGCCAAGGAAGAATTTCCTCTCAGTTTCAGAATAACTTATAAATACAAACCTGACTGTACAAGTCATGTTTCTTTCAGTGAACCTTAATTATCTCTCCTTTTCTTTCAGGCCCACTCTGTTCTCCAGCCTTGTTATGTGGATTTCTCTCTCTCCAAGTAATTCCTCAGCATCCCCTTGAATGGCATCTACCGCACGTGAGCATCCTTCACCGTCTCTAAGATACTTTTGTTGTTTTTCTTTTTTTGAGCATTTGTTTTTTTGAGATGACATTGATAGACGTGAGGCCTAAGTCTGGAGATGTTCTGTGGGTAGAACTCACATTTATTTCAGTATGTCGAGCAGCTTTAGGATCTGATCCATATTGAAGACTAGCACGGCGTAATGAGGCCCGGGCATATAAAACAATATGTATTCTAACACAGCTCACTCAAAACAAATATGTTCCCTTCTCTTTGGCTGGTACAAACAAACAATCTCCATTGTGCTCGGCACGGCTCTGCTGCGCCGCTCGCACACGGCAAGAGCTTGGCTTTCCAGAGCAGGAAACAGCATCTCCATCCAGCCACACGGGTCTTGCTGGGACAACCTTATGATTTCGGACACCAGTCCCCAAAGCTGGCATTGGGTCTGGTCTTAAGTCATAGGTGCTTTATGGGGAGAACTTTTCTCACTACAGATATACTAAAAAGGGTCTCATTTCTGAACCCTGGTCTCCTCGGTCAGACAAAGCTGACTCTGGATTTCATCCCCTTTTTGCACCGTGGGAAGGCAGAGGATCAGTGTAATTGTCGCAAAATACTCTCACCCTGAGCTGCAAAATCTTTTCCTCTGATATCTAAATTTCCTTGTGATAAAAATCAGCAGCCACATGAAAAATTCGTGGTGACTCTAGAGGGACACATTAGCAGTTCAAAACTCACGTGCGAGAGTCTCTGGCTCCGTGACCCGCCGTGAATTTGAGCCCAGGTTCCTTCTGCCATTGAACTCAGACTTTTATGCCGTTCTGCAAAACCGTTACACTCTCCTGTAACTTGTACTGGAAGCAGAGTGAGCTGTTTTGGCGCTGAAATGATTTCATTGTTAGGCTAAGTGCTACACAGATGGCATTCTTAAATGTAAAATTCTTTTTATGATTCTTTCGATTTCATATTTATTTCATTAGATCATTATTTATGTTAAAGAGACACCATTAATATGAAACGTGCTCAGCTTGAAAGAAAATGTTGAGAGAAGTTTCAGGTATCTGATCCTCAATCCTTTAGTTTTTGTGTTTCTCATTTTCCTATTTAAAATGTTTTTTTCTAGGTGCTATGTGACAGATCCACACAAACAACAGAGGGGAAAGAGCCTCACTTAACTGATTAGAGGAGAGAAGCAGAGAAAGGGAATATGCACAAAGCACTGCCAAGTTCACAGAGCAAAGGAAAAGATAAAAAAATAGAATCATTTCACCAACCTTTTTTTTTTATTTAGAGTAATGTGAGGTATTTCTTATACTAGCAGCAGGGAAACAATTTTCAGACAAAAATGTGATTTCTTAATCAAGGGTCTCTAATTCAAAATATATTTATTTAATAAACAGTAATTATGATAGCTGCAACTACTCATTCATATCAATAATTCATTCAGAAGTAAACCATATCAACATATTAGCATTTATTTTTCCATTTAATAGGCTGTGATTTAAAATAAATGTAAATCGTCATAATCATTCAGCTCCATATGCTGGGAAAGGAAAAGTCACCTTAAACCAGATGCGTATTGTGAAAAAAAAAAAAGGAGAAGACAAGTTGTTCTAAAGAAACAGCATATGGGGGCAGATCTTAAGCTGGGGTAAAGATGCTCTGCTTTGTAGATGTCAACATAGCGAGGCTGAGTTATGCCAGATGAGATTCTGGTCAGTAATTTTGAAGAACTGGATGGTTTAGAGGGTTTTCCACTGAGCGATATACTTATTTCTTTCTTTAAGACAAGAGACAAATACGATTTCTTCCAGTTTTAATCAGGAAGAGGCAATAAACCTTATCAAGAAATTTGAGGAGTTTTATGGGTGGAAACAATAGGCTGTTTGCCTGGGTGGTAGGTTGGCTCTGCGCGTGTACGTGCTTGTGTGTGTGGAGCTGTATTTATTTTTCCTCTCGCCAGTTAGTTAGCCAAACCCTCTCTTAACTTGTATCCCTAACTACCCACCTCGATTTGTCAGCCAACAGCTCTTTCTCAGCACTCCTGTTAGATATCTTCTTTTCTGTCCCCTGCCTGATGTCCGGGGTGAGGTGTTTGGGGGCTGCAGAGCATTGGTTGCACTTGTTAGAAAAATCTCTTATTTTGCTTTGGGCATAGGAAAAAAGTGGTGAAGGGCTCGAGGCCCAGTTAGCGTGTTCTGCTGCTTCTAGACCATCTCAAACACTCAGTGCAGACCTCTTCTTGCAGCTTTTTCTGTTGCTTCTGCTTTCAGGAGGTGAGGCTGGAACTTGTGACGGGGAGCGGGGTGTCACCACACTGCCTCTTCTGCTCCCACGTCCCAGCCCGTGCTGCCGGCACACCCTTTGGGCCTCGCCACAGCCACAGGGCCCTCTTGTCCCCCGATGAGCTCAGCAAAGCCCTTTTCCTCCCTCCGACAGAGTGCCCTGTGTTCTGGCTGGGGAAATAAAGCCGCGCACCCCTTCTTCCCCTGGAGAGATGCTTTCAGGGGATGTCTTGGGCGGTGGGTGCAGCCACAGTGCTGTGAGCACGGCACGGGTTAACCCTGAAAAAAGGTGTTTTCAGGTGAGTTTTGCTGCCTTGTGCCGTTATCACATTATTCCTGTTCGTGCTGTACCAGTGGTGATGCCCTGCATATGTAACCTGCCCTGCACCTGGACATACGGCCACGGGGCAAGCAAGTTAAGGTGGTACCTGACTTTTGGTTTTTCCACTCTCTGCCCTGCTTTGTGGTGTTAACATTCCTCCAACAGTTTTTAAGGAGAGAAGTGAGTCATGTTGTTTAATTTTCCCCGTCCTAATAGAGAGAAACCATGCTTTTTCCACAAGTTATTGCATTATTCCTCTCTCCGGTGTGGCTCTGATTTAGTGCTGGATGAAGCTCAAAAGGAGGATTAGTGTAGATATACTCCCATATGCTTGGATGCATTTCTGAACTCTGTCTGTACCATCCTCAACGCTTTTGATGGAAAAAGCTGGGCTATAAACCTGATGAGAACAGGCTTCCATGCAAGATGTTTAGTATTTCCTGCTTCCATTTGGGCCAGGAATACGGCACATCCAGCCCCTTTTTGGCCCTGCAGCTCTTGGTCACGGGCTTGCCTGAAATTCAGAAAATCACAGCAGCAGAAAATGAATGGGGGAATAAAAGGAAGTAGATTTTTCTCCACTTTAATAAAAGCTAGATTAGGGTTTAGTTCCAGCTTTGGCAGAAACTTTGCTGGGGGATGGGCCCAGGTAGAATGTTTTCATTTTAACTGAATTGATTCACTCATCTTTTAGATGGTCGCACGGGAGTGCGAGTCCGTTTTTATGGTCTTAAGTAAAAGAACCTGTGCTGCTTTTTAAGAGCTGCACTTTGTGAAAATTAGGGCTGGCTGTAAAACCCCGACTGCATTGTATTCAAGCAAATGGGGAGCACAAGAAGAGGGAAAGAGGAACAGAAAGAGCAAAAGAGGGAGAGAGGGGAGCTTTCCCAAAGATACGCTGCCACAGTGAGCTGTGCTACTCCTTGGTGTCACACGTGGGGGATTCACTGTATCTAAATGACCAGGTCATTTTTCTAGCCGGCAATCAAATCATTAAACAAACACCAAGCCACATTGAACTCGATCCTAAAACTGCTATTTTACTGCCCTTTGGGGGCCGCCGCCTTTAGTCTTTATTTTTTTAAAGCATTTCCCAATAGTACTGTAATCAGTTGATCATTTTTGCTGATTCTCCTCTCTCCACTACAAGGGTTTCCGAGTTTATGAATGAAAGACCATGTTTTCTTAAATGAATCCTCCACTCCTCGCTCTGTTAGTAAACGAATGTTGGCTTACAAGATTTGACCTAAACCTCAGGCTCTGCCAGCTGAGATGCTGGAGGAGTCCAGGATGGCTAGGTAAAGGAACAACTTTCTCACACGCCCCCGGCCCGGCTCCCACATTACCCCATGAGTTTCTATCAGTACAAAGGCTGACATTGTCTGCCAGGAATAACTCGAATTATCAGCCATTGGAATGGGCTGCCCAGGGAGGTGGTGGAGGCACCATCCCTGAAGGTGTTCAAAAGACAGGTTGATGTAGTGCTGGGAGGTATGGTTTAGTGATGGTGATGCTTCTTGTTTGTTGTGCGGGTGTCTATTTTTGTCAAAGTTAGGTTAACGGTTGGACAAGATGATCTTTAAGGTCCCTTCCAACCTAGAAGATTCTGTGATTCTGTGAATTACAGCCCCTTCCAGCTGTGTTGCCCCTGATCCCCCCACAATCCTGCCCCGGGGGCTGCCCACTCTTTGCCCTCCCCACAGGCACGGAGGCTTCAGCTGCAGCTCCCTGCCCGCCCGTATCGAGTCTGGTCTTGAGGGTGGCCTTGGACTCATTTTAAAAGGCAACGCAGACGCTCTGCGGGGATAACACAGAATGATTATTTTAGGGCAGATTTTCCCCTTAAAAAAAAAAAAAAATAATAGTCCGACACGCACGCAGTTTGATCTTCGCACAAAGGATTTATATAAGAACTCACTTCTCCCTGTCGGTTACAAAAAAAAAATAAAAGCGTGCTGGCGGGATTTAGGGAAGTGTGCAGGCTAGGGGATAGCAGCAGACAAAAGGGAGTTTTTTCTTCTAAGAACATCTGCACAGCTGGAGCTCTGGCAGCGCTGTGGATAGAAAGCCTAGGTGTTGCCTGGCCGGGGCAAGGTCTCTTGGGCACCCTCCTGACACACAGATTTGGCCAGGGGTTCCTAGTGCAGTCCTCAGCCCTGTCCCCCGCCCATGTACACACAGATGTATGTGCATTATTTTGCCGTCAAATGACTGTTTTGGGGAATCTGCCACCCTGGAGGTAAAACTGTAAGTAAAGGATCTGAGGATAAGGGTGAAGGAGGAAACTGTAACTCCTTTACGTGTTAAAGGAGATCTAAAGCAGGCACAATATTCACCTGATCTCTTGGAAATAACATTGCTGTAGTGGCTCTAGACCAGCACAAACCCAGCATCCCAGCTCCTATATGCCCTGCAAAAATGTGCCTATAGAGTGGAGACACTTAACAAAAGGTCTGCTAGAGGAACAGCCCTGGAAGCCCAGCAGGGACTCAGCAGGACAGGAAAAATACTCCCCTGAACCCCCAAAAGTCTTTCTACGGTTGGGGCACCACCTACGAGTGTAGCCCTGGCTGATTCTGTCTGATCTGCTTTGTGGCATCAAAGAAATGCCTGAGTGAGTCTGAAGATGCTCAGATGTTTGTCTGTCTTTATGCTGGCCCCATTCAGCCATCTCTGCTCTCCCCAGAGCATGAGTCCCAAATCCAAAGAGAGATCCTAACAATGCAACCCCTGTGCTTGCCTGTAATATAGCATGATGCTTAAAACTGAATATAAGCAGGGATGAGGCTTTAGATCTTCCTCAAATCTCAGTGTAACTTTGAGGTTGTCAGACAGTACTGAAGTGAGAGATCTGGAGTAGGAAAATTAGTGAACACAAAAGTCATGATATTTACTCAGTTTATGCATTTTCTTTCTTTTTTTCATAAAACCTGCATAACTGGCGTGTAATTGTTTTGCTAAGTGAGCCTTGAAAGCAAAAGTCTTGATAGCTGTCACATATCTTCTTTGTAGTACAGTGTGTTGTCCTTAGAAGGTAATCAGTAGAACTTGCTCAGAAGAACTTAATCAGCAGAACTGAGCACATTGTCAGTGCTTAACAAATAATAAATTATAATGCTAACAGCAGTTCCTTTTGACACAACCTATCAAACTTTTACTTTATTTCCTGGAGTGCCTTACTTGCATCTAGTTAGGATATAATACCTACTGCAGCTACTATGGTTGAGAGGACTGGTGATACGACCCAACAGGGCGGATGTATTGATTGAAGTGAAATTTTGACAAACGGCAGAAAAAGAATCCCGAGAAAGTTCTTGGACTGTTCCTTTTCTCTTACTGGTGTTGCTATTAAGACTTAAAAATTGAATTCAAGAATAGATTTTATTCGTTCAATTGTTAAAATGCAAAATGCTATGCTTACAAGTTAATAGAATCACATTTGAATTTCCTGATAGTGTCTTTTTTAAAAGACAGACTCATTAGGCTTTCCTTACAGAAAGATGAATGTATCCAGGAGCACCTCTATTATTATTAATTATTTTTATTATAAGGAGCTTCGATAGCTCAGCGAGTTGTTAACGTGTCTGGGGCTATCACTTCTTTGTCCCCATTGTAATTTGGCCCGGGCTGGGAGTTACTGACAATCATTTCATTTTCTAATTGTTTGGTAGTTTATACACAATTAGTTGGTGGGTTTTATTCACTTTCAACAAGATGTATATCCATGTTATAAAGAAAACCACCGGGTCAGCTCTAAGCTGCCGCTGATTGTCACAGGCTTAAATGGAACCGTGTCAATTTATCCCAGTTGAGGATCTGACCAATGATCACAACTGGCATTAATTAGCAGATGTGTTATCAGACTCCACGGAGATGCCCCGGGTTGAGTGACAACAGAGGTGCTCAGCCGCCGCGGCCAGTGGAGCTGTGCCAGTTTGGCAGCTGCCGGCACGGTGCCCGGCGCTGGCAGGTGGAAAGTCCAGGTCACCCCTGACGGAGGCACGGTGGTGGCTTCTGCCACCAGTTCCCCATGGAGAAGGAGCCTCAGAGCACGAGGCAGCCGGTCGTGTTAAAACACAAGCAACACAGAACATCTGGGAAAGGGGAAGGAGGGGAGGGAAGAGGGGGAGGATGCTCCAGCGCTGAACTGGCTTACGCCTGGAGCACGGGGACTTATCCCCAGGTATGTGTGGGAGATTGCACCGCTAGTGTGAAGCGAGCAACCTGCAAACCTGTTGAGGTTCTGGCTTTCCAGAACCACCTCACCTTGCATTGTAATGCCAGTTGCATGTGTGTGACAGAAGGGTGGGGGAGACAGCTCTGGAAAGAGGGGATCCTAAAAAGCAGTAGGATTTCACAGCGACAGCTACTGACACCTGCAGCGCTACTGTGGCTGTAAACTAGGGATGTGACCATGACTAGAGAAGTGTCTTGAGTAAGTCATGGGAGTGAATGAAGAGCAGGAATGTGACAAACTTGAGAGGCTGCACCAGGAGAAAGAAAGAACGTACCCTCCTCCTTTTGCATTTATTCGGGTGCAGCGTAGAGTAAAACCAAGCCAGTAAACTGGGCAGATACTTCTTGCTCAGTAGCAGCCACCCCCTCTCCTTTCTCATGCCCACCTGCCAGCACTGGTTGGTGGAAAGGAACAAGCTACCAAGTTAATGGTGTGGGACCTTTGTAAAGATTACCAGTCTCTTCACTAATACAGTGTTCAAAGGACAAACCTGGACCTCAGGTAGCTCAGGGAGTAATCTTTTCAGCCTTTACCAGCAACTGACACAGTTTCAAAATCAGCTCAAGTTAATGGATCCTATACTTTTTGTTGCACTGGGAAAAATTTTCTTTTCACTGAGAGAGCTTTTTGTAGTAACCCAGGAAAAGAAAACAGCAGGAGAGAGAGACTTAAATAGTATGGGGGATGCAGAGGTCTTTAGGCTGGTCCCAGAGGTCCCAGCTGAGACAGCTGATGGGAAGATGTAGTACATTTTGAGGAAGGTGCAATAGTAGCCACCACTCACAAATGTTCTGTCCCCCTTTCTGCACACTTTCCCCACCATTTTAAGTGAGATAGGAAAAGATATTTAGGTACCTATTTGCTGTGACAAATCTGGGTCCTTCTCTGAATAGTCATCTCTGGGCCCAAAGGAGATAACTGAGGTGCACACGGGATATAGATGTCCATGATCACAATCCACACACCCCCTAGGTTCAACACCTGCATTTTTGCTAATAAAGATATTAAGACATCTAAAATACTTCTGCTGCTTGTGCCTCTTGGCCAGGTAGTCACCAGCTGAATTTCTCAGCAGCTAATCCTGGTCCACCTCCTCAAATGATGCATTGCATTGCCCACATCTCTACACCTGGCAGAGCACGGGTAACACATGATCAGGACTGAGCAGCACACACAGGACAGCAGCTGTTTTCACTGTCATTCAAAGTAAATACATTTGAAGTCCACCTGAGCTTCAGGGGGTTCAAGCCCTTATGTCTTATCTGCAAAGACAGTGGGAACCCTAGCCAGGAAGCTACAAGCTAAATATTCATGGGGGAAGATATTTTCCATACTTCCTACAGAAGTGGTGCTGATATGCATAAGGTTCTCTGGGAGGAGTTTAAGGCAATAGGGTGGAGAATAAGACACCTTCTCCAGCCCTCTCCTGCTGAATTGGCTTGATCTACACTTAGCTCATTTGGATTGGTACAAGATAAAGGATCTTGTTTGGTATAGTCATTGCTGCGTAAGGTATTTCTAAAATATTGGCTTCACAGCCTAATGAAAATACAGCGATTTTTCCGAAAAATCAGTAGAACATATCCTCAAAGGATATACAGACGTGATGATTATTGGAGTTTTAATTAAAATAGCAGCTAAAATAAGTATTATGGTGTGTTATTATTTCTAAGATAACAACAGAATAAAGGTGCCCATTTCTTTCTAGAGTGCAATTTTCTAAATGAAAAAGTAAACATTAATATCTTCAGAGATCTTACTGATCTTGTACGATAATTTAGAAAAATATCTCTATTAGGGATAGTTATATATGCTTTTTGTTGGAAATGCAATCACAGGATATGCACATAGCTGCAATCTGTAGACAGATTAAGTAAATTAAATCACTCAATGTCTTTTTTCAATAGCTCTAAAGTTAAAAGTAATTTGCAAAGAAAATACTCAGTTTCAATTGGTTTGTAATATCTGTTAATGATCTTTGGAAAAATTTCTGATAACATGCGGGAATTCCCTCAGGGACAGGGTTGTGAATAAGTGGATTTTTTTAAGTTTGAGATGTCATTAGCTAGTGATTTCTTTGAAGTAAAAAGCTGTTACGGAATAAATTGCAGAGGTATACAAGTGAACAGGACAATCATTTTTATGAATAATACACATTTTTTCCACAGTGCTTCCTGCCCCCCAAAGAAATAATTTACAATCTAACTTGCCATTACAAACATACTGGAATCTCAACTGTGTGTGCATTTTGTGCTTACTTTATGTATATGTTCTGTCTTTGTATGGAAGTATAGGTTGCTGATGTAACCAGCTAGAGTAAGAAGCTGATTTGCTGCTTGTATTTATTTATTTATTTATTTTTATTTTCTTCTTTTTTTTTTTGTTTCCCTTGGTAGAGAAGTTTTCCAACCCACAAGGCTGAAACAACTTCCTATAACTGAAATGACTCCAGTCCATCTATTCCCTAGAAGACATCCTTCCTGATTTCTTGTGGAGCCTGTAAGATGACTGAAGCTGTAAGTGTGTGCAATCATGGAAAAAAGGACCTCTATTCTCTTGGTGCCTGGTTAGCATTAACATCTTTTTAACAGTTCAGAGATGAACCAAATATCCCTCATACACCACCAAAATAAGGTAACACTTCCTAGGCCAAATGAGATCTCCTGGTCTCTGCCCCCATGTGAGGATATCTGAAGTAGAAAAGAGCACCAGAGGCACCATAGGTTACACCTGCCCATGGGGACCATTGTCCTGCCTAGAGGTCCAGCTGTCCGATTCAGCCATGGGCAGCTGCAGATGGGCCTTATGTCTCCATAGGCTCCTGTGGTTGGGTCTGGGTTTAGACAGGGACTGGGACCACTCTGAAAGAATGCTGGTCTGGGTGACAGGGCACTAGGACTCCAGATAGAGGACTGTCACATAGATCAAAAGATAAGGCTAGTTGCAGCCATCGAGCATTTGGTTTCCTCACCTTCCTCCAAATCTCTTTTGCCCAAGACCTTATTGATTTTGGCCTGCTTTTTCTTCATCTACGGACAGAGCTGTTAAGAGATTCATGCTTTCATGAATATGACTGCTGCCTCCAGGGTTTCCACACAGGTTTGGATGAGAAAGGATTTTGCAGCTCTAGTAAGAGAGGTGAACAGGCACCGGTTTGAAAAGCCTCCTAGTCTTTCCTGATCCTCTGAAGGCCCAGTATAGGAATCCATACCTACCCTGATAATCCAATAATGGGCCAGACAACCCCTTGCTTCCCATATGCAGATGTCCAGTGATGTTCTGCAGTTAATCTGAGAGTAGTGGGACTTCCTTCTGGCTGCTCCTAAAATGCCTTAATTCTGACAGAGGCCAATGCTAGACTTTCCAATATGGAAAGAGAATGTTCCTCCTTACTGTGCGTTTAACAGTGTAACAGTTTGCCATGGATGAGGATGCCTTCCCGACCCTGTCTATTGACTGGCCAAGAACTGCTGGGATGATGAGACATTATTACATAGTACCAGCTGGTAAAACCCTCACAGATTTTTTTTTAGGCTAGAAGCAACCATTATTATCATCTAATCTGATCTTCTGCATAATACATGCTGCTGAATTTAACCCAATCTGAACTTTGTGTGAAGATTTGCTTTTATGTCTAAAACTGCCTCCTCATTTACAAATATGATGCTGTTTCTCTCAGTACTGTCCATGCAGCAGCAAGTTCCATTAATTAACTGTACATTGTTTGGAAAAGCAATACCTCTTATCCGTTTGAAATTTGATACCTCTTCGGTTCACCTTGCAGGATAGGAAAGGTTTTTTTTTCCCTTTGCTGCTAATTAGGTTGGAAGATCATGAGGACGAAATGTTATTTATATTATAGTCATGCTTAAGCAGAGCTCTGACGAAGCCCGGGGACGCCATTGCACAAAGTGAGGGAGACTGTGCGAGTCCTTTGATGGTGACAATATTTGAACAGACAAATGGCACACTTTTGAGCGAGCTGAGTGATTCAACTGAAAAGATTGCCCAGCAAGTCAATGGATTTGTACCTCTGAATCCCCTATGCTTTTCTGAAACTCTCATCCAAAGTTCGAAAGGAAAGTATGGAAACGTGACGTTTCTAAAACTAAGACCGAAAAATGAGTTTGGGACATAGTCAGCAAAGGAACAAAGGTGTTACCAATATGTAGCTTTGTATCTTGTCCACTGTCCATAAGTCACATTGGCCTCCAGTGGCTGAAAGTCCTCTAAAAGAACAGGGTATGCTGAGGAAAATGTCTGCTTCATGCCTTCCAGAACTGCTAGGGTACAAGGACATCTTCTAGATTATCTCAGGCAACAGTGCTTGTTCCAAGTTTATGGAGAGGGTTCATGTATGATTTGCAGTCCCATGAGGATGGATCTTTCCTGAGAGACAAGCTGGTGCTTGTGTTCTTTATCTGTTCTCAAGAAATTTCCCATCCTTTTGACTTTTATCATTTTTATTGCCATTCTATGGACTTGTTCTATTTCTACTTTCTTTCTTCAGAGATGAGGTGACCAAATTTGAAGACAGTATTCAAAGTGCGGATGTGCCACTGATTTATATAATAGCATTATAATATTTTCCATATTATTCTCTAAAACTCTTTTCTTCATACAAACCCCATAAGATTCTTTTTAATTCTTTGAACTACAGTGCCTTTTAACATCTGTAGTTTACTCTGATCAGATTTTGACAAAGGAATAAAAGGCTCCATTTTTCACATAGAATTTTATTTATTGTTTGAACTTTAGAAGAGAAATTGGTTAACTTACAATTTAAAATTCTTGGCAATGTAGACCATTGGGCAAGGATTTCATTATCAGCCTGTCTATACCTTCTGTAGAAATGTGTGAGGCTGAAAGTTGGGGTGCAAGGTCTTGGCTTAATAGATTTGTCTTTTGTCTTATAAACACAGCCAAAGACTTAATTTGGAGCTGTCAGCATCTCCAAAGCCATCAGAAATGTCGTTCCTCTATAACCCCCTCCTGATAAAACACGCTGGGGCTGTGCCATTACGTGCCACTCAACCAGGACCATGCACACCTGTGAGCAGTACCTGAGTTCTGCTCGCTGTACCGCACACCTCCACGCCAGGTCAGGGGAAGACCCCTTTGAAGACGAGGCGCTTGATGACTGCAAAGGGTGAGGATCTCACTCTCACATCACAGCTGGGCATTGTGCCTTCGTTTGGGTATTAGAAAAGGCTCAGGGAAAACAGTTGCATCCATTCTATTGCCTAAGACACTTCCTGCCGCTGCTGCCTTTCCTTAGAGTTACCAATCCAAGTGCTGACCCTGCCTGACCCTACTTATCTTGTAAAAGCTGACAAGATCACAGCCTGGAGCAGTATAGCCACAGGCTCAACACTGGTTACCAAAATGTCTGTTTAGTATTTTCAAGAAACGCTGCTCTAAAGATTTACACTACCATATGCTAGATACATGGACAACACCAACACACAGCTCTGACCCCTGAACGTTCAGCCCCACTTACGTAGAAATTTGTGCCTTTCAGGGGGCCAACACGGACCTGCCACAAAATAGTGAATCCCTACCTGCAAGTGAGCTGGGATTTAAGTAACATATGATTATATACACTCAGATATTGGGTAAAAGTATTTGAAAACTACAGTCTTGAGTTCAGAAATCATTGTTAGCTTATTTTATCAGTTGCATTACTGCTTTAGTAATAGAAAGAGCTCTGCCATTTCCGTGTAATATATTTTTTTTTAGTTTAGTATAGAGAATTGTCTAAATTATTCCGTGACCAAAGCAGTTTTTCATCAGAAGTTATTTTTAGATGAACTGTAAGTTTCTTCCCTAGCAAACATGCTAGCTGCACTGTATGAAAGCAAACGCACTCTTTCCCAGATATCTCTAAGGATAAACACAAGTTTAAATATCCAAGAAATATTATGGGACCAATCTGGTTTAGTTTTATATACATTCATACACAATATACATTAATAGTTCTTGCAGAGTGGCGGAGGTTTTTTTTTTCTTTCCTCTTTAGAACAGCAAAGAGATGGAAAAGACATCAAGGTCCTATTGCTCCTGTCGGAAACTTCTGCTGACTACAGCACGAGTTGGATTGGGCCCAGAGAAACCAAATACACACAAGTAACGATGAGTTGGCCATACAAGCAAGGAAAATCACAGATAACAGGTGCACACAAATTAGCAATGTACCTTTTAGGTCATCCAGTACAGCTCCCTGGCACTGTGAGATTATTTCCTATGGCATATTTTTGGTTGTTTTGTGTGCCTAGATTAAATGTCCTAAGTCGTGCCATGTCCCTAGGGGGAGATTGTGCTGCCTAGAGTATCTTGTGGTCAGAAGCTTTTTTTTTTCCTTTCTTAATCATATTTCTCCTAGTTATGTCCCTTTGCAAACCTCCTTTTCCTTCATTGCTACTATTTTCCTCTAGTATCTTTTAACTCATGTGATGTTGTGCTTAGTTAGCATTAAGTCAACCCATAGCTATTTAGCTCATTTAATCTTCCCTGACAAATCAGTCCTTTCAGTCTCCTGGTTATTTTTCCTCTCCTCTTACACTCCTGTCTGTTGGTATCTCTTTTAGTTATGAGATTTTAAAGATGTGATACATTTTTCTGAACTAATGACAGATCTGGTATAGAGCTGAGCATCCTCAATGTCTTCTCACTGAAAGAGCCTGCCTGATGTCTCCAGGGGAAAGCTGCCAGCACTCTGGACAGGCACACAGGTAGACTATCCTGCTCAAATCACTTTCTTGGTGCCACTTATTCTATTGGCCAGCAAAATCCCATTAAAACAATTAACCTAGTGTTTCAGAAAGCAAATACATGTAGTTACAGATTTATTTTGTTTTTCACAATGTTAGAAAATAGAGTGGCACAGATAAAAAGATCTTTGTTGCTGCTGTTCAGGTTCTCTGACTCTTTGTCATGGGCATCCCAGTCTAAAATTATGGAAGACGTTGTCTAGTAACTATATTTTAGGACAGTCCCTTGTAGAAAGTAATTATATACATAGTCACAAGCCTAGCTGTTCACTTCAGGCAATAAATTCTGATCAACAAACAACACTCCTTTAGTGCTAAATGAGATCTTGGTTGTAATTGAATGTCTTTACCTTTGTGTTCTGTTGGATTGGAGGAATATCATTTTAATCTGCTCTCTTTAAATTTTCATTAAGGAACGTTTCAGCTACCTGCAGCCTCATCTGATGATGTTTAATGATATCAGCTATCTCAGTCTTCCGTGCAGCAGCAGGGTCTTCTTTAAATTAGTCAACTGTATGGAACATTGTTTTCAAGTTTAATATACTTGGAATCAAGTTCTTAAAATAATGGCGTCTCTAAATATAGTTTATATCTATAGTGCACACACATATGTGTGCATTTATATGTGCATGTGTGTGTATCTTTGTATATATGCATAAGTGCACACATATGTACAGAAATGCTGATCCTGTTCACCTTCTTGAAATCATTTCAGCTAGTATTAACATAAATGTGCTGTTAAATTGGCAGTGTTATACATTTTTGTTGGAGTTTACTCTCTGTAACATAAAATCAGAAAGATAAGCTGTGAAACTCATGCAGCTGATGACATAATGCTAGGATCTCGTGATGCTGAATCTCATATTTCTAAGCGTGTGGGATGGATGTTCCTTGCTGGAATAATTATACTGTCTACTGCAATATATGTTTCGTTGTTTTCATGTGGGGACTGAGATGTCCAAACCATTAAACGTATACAGTATAATGAGTCCTGTGTTCCTTATTTATTCTAAAGAAGGCATTAACTTTCTATGGTTGTTTTATTGTACAATAAAGCCAACTACTCTAAGAATCTGTGATGCACACGGCAATAATCTGTGACAACATGCATATTTACATTTAATAACGATGTCCAAATGTACATATGTGCATATAAATATGCATATATATATATACAAACACACATAGAGAGACGTAGACACAAATTAAATGGAACCAATTAGAATGTGGCATAAATAGATTCAAAGCTTACCTGTTACGGCTGTGTGAAGGGATAATTTGAGCTACAAAGACAAGCAAGAAAGCCTAGCTCAATACACTCCATTGGCTCGTTCCCATTATGCTCAACAGCGACAGGCTGTATGCGAAGACGGGGTACCAGCAGACATTCGTAATGACAGCTGGTTCAAAACAGAGCTTTCAAAATAGTGCAACACCCCTAACTTCCTTCCAAATCTTGGTGTTTGCCAGCACTTCACTGAGGCTGGTTCTTAAGGTCAGATGTGCAGATAAAAGTTTTCCGGAAAGAATCTGGTTCTTTATGTTTGAACTCTGTATCTATTCAACATATAGGCTCTTTGTTGCTGGTGAATTTGCATTTGAGCTCACACATGAATTCTGCTTGGCTATTACCTGCAATAATGATGGATGTTTCTCCCTGATACAGTGCCCTGAGATTGTCCTCTATCGAGTTCTCCACTCTCTTGTGGGCTACATAAATGGAGATCCAGGCAGTAGCTGTTTCTTTTTACTGGGACAAAAAAACCCAACCCAAATCCCTCAGCCTCTCTGTTGAGAAATGGAGGAAAAGTGGCTTCCCTTTAATGTCACCCACATCACACCCACTACGCTCAGCCAAGTAGGAACACATCAAAAAAAAAACCCACTTCAGTTGTCCTGTGTGACTTCTCCTGGTGGAGGTGTAGAGAATCTGGAAATAAACATGGTCCTCCTTTGGAAGGAAATGCAAACAGGGTTTATCTATTTGCATTTGAACTCAGTGAAAAATAACCAGGCACAGAAAGCAAGCTTGAAGATAAGACATGAATAGAAGTAAAGCTAAATTTCACTAAGCTAAATTCAAGTGAAATGTGCCACATTGTTATAATTACTACAAAGAACATGTGCTAATTAACTGTTACACTGTGCTGGTGAAATAGTTAAGTATTAGTAAAATAATAGTTAAGTATTAGTTAAGTAGAGGGGCTTACCCTGGGATGCTATTGACTTTGCTGAGAAGCCAGCATGTGGGGAGCATGCCATGAATGAATTTGTGAAAATGAGGCTGGTGAACCAATTTGGTCTTAGAAATGGCTTTTTCAGTGTGGTTAGAAAAATATTTTAAATCTGTGATAAATTTTAGTTGTAGCAATTGACTGCTAAGTGTTCAAAAGCAATTTTTCATTTACCAAAGTACCTGGGGACCCCAAGCGCTAAACGTCAGACCTTCAGAGGAATTTGGACAGCTAAAAGTGCTGTCGTTTGAGGATCTTCAGAACTGCCCAGACACTTCTCTCCAAAGGAAATCAAGGAGACCTGGGCACCAGGGCACTTCAGAAAACCATTGACAAGGTGCCTATCAGCCTCCTGGGGAGCTGTGCTCTTTTCAGGAGTATTGACCCCAGCTTCAGCTGGAGGTGCCCCTGGGGAGATGCTGAGTGGAGCAGGATGAGTCTGCGCTCACTTCTGGAGGAGCTATGGCCCTCTTGCAAACCACGGGCTTGTGCAGGGCCGCTTCACTGCAGCAGGCTCGCTTGGCTTACTGACACTCATCTTCTAGCTCCAGCATGGTATGTGTGAGCAGTGTTGGCCACGCACTCTGGCTGGCGATGCTCCTGTTTGCCATCAGCCTTCCCTCCTGGATCAGGGCCGCTACCGATTGCTGAGGGGTGGCCAGGAGCAGCTCCCTCTGGTGAACCTCTTTTGTGCTTTTATCTCCCTCTTCTTGGCAGTAAGCTGCCACTGGCTCCCAGCCACGGCCCTCTCACCCTCCCCAGTGCCCAGCTTGCATGCTCAGCCAGTGCCTACATCTCTTCCAGCAGCTGGCCCTACTTTTCCTCCACAGCTGGCTGCTGCCCCCTACTGTGGTAATTATTATTTATTATGGATATTCAGTGTACATTATGTGTCCAGAGTCCAGTACTGTCTGCATCACTACCAGGGTCCCACTGTGTGGGCAGAAGCACACAGCAATACACAGTTGTTCCACGTCGATGCTCACCCGACTCCCAGGCAGGGAGAGACTGAAGGGGAAGGAGTGAAGGTGGCTGTTGGCACCTATTAGCACTATCTGATGTGACACCTACGCTCTGTCCCGTGTTACATGACTCCAGCAACAGCACAGCTGAGTGCAGAACCGTTTTTTCTCCACCTTGCTATCAATAGCATGTCTCCCGCTATTCCTGCTATCTAGCAGGAAACACCTGAGGTGTTTTCCAGAAGCCATGGTCGTTGCTCAGTCACAGTTTAACTCCCTGTTGCTGTGAATTCAGATATTGCTTGGTTTTTGGTTGCTGTCAAGAAGTAATGCCCTTAGACCACAGCATGGCTATGTGGGACATCATTTTCTTTCCCGATTCTCTCCCTCACCCTCTTCTTTGGGGTATTCTGTTCACACTGGTTACTTTGTGCATGTGTCCTTCTCCTTGCACTTCACCCTTTCTCCTCACTCTGCCTCCCTGAAGACACCACCCTCAGTTCAAAACAGGGGCTTTAACTCCCACAACTTAGTGCACAGGCAAAAACACCTGGGGGAAGAAGTTGCTTCTGTCCATTTGGAAAAACACAGAATCTTAAACATATTTCACACATATATGTACATGCATAAGAGGCAGGTTCTCAGTTTTGATGGTTGGGGTTTGGTTCAAGAAGATGGAGCAATACCGCTCCATGGCAGCTGAGGATCTGTCCCAGTATGTAAATGTAAATATCTATTTTTACAAGCCCTCCTCCAGTTTTCTTAAAAAAAAAAAAAAAAAAAAGTTTTTTTTTTAAAACAAAAAAAAAAAAAACCAAAAAACAAAAAAAAAAAAAAAAAAAAAAAAAAAACACCC